TAAAAAAAGAAAAGTCTGTTCTATTCTCTCATACCCTAAAATAAGTTACAGATTGGAAATTTAGGAAATTAATCTTTGTTTTTTCTTTTGACAAAAATGTGGTTTCATCTTGGGAAATTAATCTTTTTTACATTTCCTCTATGTGTGTGTGCGTGTGTGTGTGTACCACTGTGTGTGTACCACTGTGTGTACTAATGTGTGTGTACCAATGTGTGTGTACCACTGTGTGTGTGTACCAATGTGTGTGTGTGTACCAATGTGTACATGTGGAGATAAGAGGAAACCTTTTGAGAGTTGGTTCTTCTTCTATGTGGGTTCTGCCGGTGCCTAGAAATGTTCTTAATTCTGACATGAACTTACTGAAAGTGTCTGGACTAGCCTTATCTCTGGTTTCTACCACCCATTAGAACTGCTTTTGAATGGCAGGCCAAACAAACTACAACGACACTGACCAGTTCTAAGTGATAACTGCAACTACTTTCAAGGTCACTTCTTTTTTGGTCTTTTTGAGACAGGGTCTCCCTGTAGCCCCAGCTGGCCTGGAACTCACTATGTAGACCTTGAACTCACAGAAATCTGCCTGCCTCTGCCTCCTGAGTGCTGAGATTGAGATTAAAGGCGTGCACCACCATGCCTGGCTTAAATGTCACTCTTTTATCAAGGTCACTGTCTCAGAAATTCTACATTTCCTGAGCATCCTATTTATTCAATTACCGTAAAAATGAGAGACCCACCTTGAGATTTCCTTTTTCCTGCCTTTGTATTTAGTGTTGGTCTCTGGGGCCTCCCACGGCACAGCAGGATGAAACCTGTTCCATTACTCTTCTTAAACCCAGGAGCCCTAACTCACTCAGTCACTCAGAAATATCTACAAATGTGCTGTTCAGGCTGCCAGGACTTAAGGGCATGAGCCTGAAGGACCTTGCCACTTTTATATTTAACTAAAAGATGGCCATTAATGGCTCTCTTGTTCAATAAAAGTTCTGCTCTGCAAAGCAGACTGTGAAGTACTAAGAAGCCATAGGACCGTGAAAACTAAGGCATAGCTCTAAATGGCACAGCCCAAATGCCCTCTTACACAGTTTCAGAAAATTATTTATACCTGTATATATATTTTTCTGAGACAAAGTTTCATGTAGCCCAGGATGGCCTCAAACTTATTGAAGCTGGCCTTGAAGTTCAGTCCTGCTTCCACCTCCCAGGTGTTGGGAGCACAGAGCTCTACAACACCACACCCAGTTTACATGGAGTTAGGGCCTTGTGCATGTGGCCAGCACTCTCCTAATTGAGCTATACAGCCAGCCCTCTATATTTTTAATTCAAATTTCTTTAATGAAGTGTGAGTGATTTTATCATAAGATGTAGTCAATTTCATTTTTTAATGGAGATAATGAAATTGATAAATCATACACAGAAATGACCTCACAAAGGAAGTAAACAAGGCCACATACTCAGTGAGTACCCAGCTCAGACTCCTTCACCTGAGAGTAGCACTTTTTGAGGTATTCGTGTGGATGTTCAAGACTTCAAGACTTCCAAAGAAAACTGAAGAATCTCTCTGTGGCAGAGGCTGGGGAGATTTTAGTAAGATGATCTGACAGCTGGCTAACAGCAAATACTTGTGCAAACAGGACCACAGGTAGAGAGCGTACAGATGGGAGTAGATCAAAGAGAAGGAAAAGAGAAGAAGCCAAAGGCGTGTGCATTCACGCCATGCTCAGGACACCAGGTCCTCAGAGTGTCACCCATCTTCACTGGCGTGGGCGACCTACCCAACATTTGATGATCAATATCAACAGCTACTGCTTTCCCTGGTGCTACGCATTCTAATCATTCAGAATTCAAAGAAGATCTGGCATTTTACTACCCCAAACTAACATTTAGAAACTTAGAGAAGTGGGTCATATTATAAAACATAGGCCTGTTTCTGGAGTTCAAAGATCATAAAATTTTGGATTTTTATAGTTTTCCTGCAGTAACTAAATATACATAGTAAAGAGTATTTTTTAAGAGCTTGCCTCTTGTTTTTCTTGATTTTGGTCCACACTGAGTAAAGCTGGTATTTTAGATGAATCTGCTTTGTTTGACTCTCTCTTCAGTACTTTTATCTGTTTAACTTTTGTGAAGATATAAGAAACAATGGAAATTTGTTAGTCTTACCTTGAAATTTTATTTTCCTTTTCAAGAATTTCAAATGGAAACTGAGACCTTAAACTCATTTTCTTAGTTTACTGAAAAGGAACTGAGTCATGAGTTGTAATAGTAAAATACAGTACGTTTATTTTATAATTTATTTAAAACGGCATTTGATTTCTTTTCATCCTGACATTGATCACTCTTGAGTTGCACACACTACATTCTGCTATTTCATCACATTTTCACAAGATGTCACTGTTTTCCAAGGAAAGATAACATTTACTTACAGCAATAAATGACCTTCATTTTAAAATAAATATTTTTAAACTTTTTGTTACTTTACTTTTACAGTTTGTAGGAGTGGTGAATTGGTTCTCTCTTTCCACCGTGTGGGTCCCATTATAAAACAGGCTATCAGACTTGGCACCAAGTGCCTTTACCTGCTGGGCCATCTCACTAGGTGTTAAGATAAATCCTTTTTTTGTCTTTTTGAGACAGGGTCTCTCTATATCCCCAGCAGGCCTGGAATTCAGACTGACCTTGAACTTAGAGAGATAAATCTTAAATTTAGGGTGAAGATACAATTTAGGGGCTAAAGAATGGTTCAGATCTGATGCGCTCTTCTGCCCTCTGTGGGCATTGTGTGCACAGGTGCACTTACATGCATGCAGGCAAAACACATAAAAACATAAAAATAAAAAAACAAATGCAACATGAACTTCTTAAAGATAAATGGCTTATGGTTTATACTGCTTGGCAACTTTGAGTACAGAGGACTAGCTCATATGGCTGAAATGTAGAGGGGCCACTATGCTGCATTCCACAGGCACCTCACAAGAGGGGTGCGATGTCCATCACTAACATTCTGCTAGGTGACCCAACAGCTCCAGGGATAGCTACACAGAATCACAACCCACAAAACTAACTACTGCAAAACGGGCATAATGTGCACATGAATGCAGTGCAGGCATCATTCTCATCTCACTCTATACTTTAAAAACACTACAATGAATCTTCTTTTTATTTTTTTAAACTTTGATTCTTTATTATTTTTATTTTATGTGTATGAGTGTATTGCCTGCATGTATGTAAGTGGTGTCATGCAGTGCCTGAGGAGGACAGACAAGAGTATCAAATTTCCCTGGAACTGGAGTTACAGATGGTTATTAGCCACCTTGTGGGTGCTGAGACTCAAACCCTCGTCTTCTGCAAGAACCAGTCAGTGCTCTTAACTGCAGAGCCATCTCTCCAGTCCCTGAATTCTATTTTTTTATTTTATGTGTATAAGTGTATTGTCTCCATGTGTAAAAGTGTGCCACTGTCATGCAATGCTCGTGGAGGTCAGAGAAAGGCGTCAGGTTCCCTGAAACTGGAGTTACGATGGTTGTTAGCCACCATGTGGGTTCTAGAAATTAAACCTGGGTCCTCTACAAGAGCTTAGCCATCTCTTCAGCCCCATGAATTTTATTTTTAAAATGTATTTCAAGGTACTTCAAAAGCAAGGTTAAAATCACAGAATGTACCAGGCGTGGTGACGCACACGTTTGATCCTAGCACTTGGGAGGTAGAGGCAGGAAGTTCCAGGCCAGCCTGGTCTATATAGTGAGTTCCAGGTCAGCTGGGGTTACAGGGAGACCCTGTCTCGAAAAGACCAAAAAAAACCATAGCATGCAATAAAATGGTATTAATATAAATAGATAAATGTGTTAAAGATAAATTTTTAATTTGTAATCTTAATCTCCCAAGCTTTCAGATCCCAGAGCATCAACTGCTCTTGCAGAAGACCCAGGTTCGATTCTCAGAACCCACAAGGTGGCTAAGAACCCTTCTTAAGTCCATTCCAGGGGAATCTGACACCTTCTTCTGACCTCTTTGGAATTGCATGACACGTGTGCACTTATACACATGCAGGCAATACACGCAAACACATTAAAAAAAATAAGATTGTGTGTGTGTGTGTGTGTGTCTTTTTTGAGACAGGGTCTCCGTGTAGCACCAGCTGGCCTGGAACTCACTATGTAGACCAGGCTGGCCTCGAACTCACAAAGATCCACCTGCCTCTGCCTCCCAAGTGCTGGGATTAAAGGTGAGCGCCACCACGCCCAGCTAGAAAATGTTTTTTTAAAGAACTATCTCCAGGGTTGAGGATTTGGCTCAGTGGTAGAGCACTTGCCTAGCAAGTGCAAGGCCCTGGGTTCGGTCCTCAGCTCCGGAAAAAAATAAAAGACAAAAAAAAGAACTATCTCCATGAAGTCTAACCCTTTAACTACAGAGAGAGAAAAAATCTTATCAGTGCAATTTACCTTTTTTAAGCAATTTACTTTCTACCTAAATCATACAATAAAATGTGAGCCACACTACAAAGCAGGTTTCTCAGCTGCATCACTGCACAGACTGAGGGCCGTGCACAGAACGCATACCTTCCATCCCTTTCATCTCCTTTGCTTGCACTGTGAAAGGCAGCTCAGGGAAGTGGAACTCTTTCCTGTCACATCTGGAAAAATTCAGCTTCCTTTTGTTCCCACTTGCCATTTGGTCACTTGGCCCTGTCTGCTCATTAAATACGCCTTTCTCCATTTGGCTCTAAACAAACAAGTGCTTGAAGTTAGCTTGAAGAAACTCAACTTCGTGAATGACAAATGTAGAGCTCTGAGGCATCTGGATGACGGAAAGCAGTTACAGCAACGATCATAATTAAGTACACCAGATCTGGGTGTGTTACAAGCCTGTAATCCCCTCACTGGAGAGGCAAAGGGCAAGAGGATCTTAAATTCAAGGGAAAGCCTAATTACCAGGGAGACCCTGTTTCAAAGAAAACAAAAACATACAAACCAAAATAAGATGCCATTAAACTGAGCCAGGTAGCTGGGTGTGGTGGTGCATGCCTTGGGAGGCAAAGGCAGGCAGATCTCTTGTGAGTTTGAAGCTAGCCTGGCCTATATAGTGTGTTTCAGGACAGCTGGGGCTATATGGAGAACTTATCTCAAAAATTCTTTTTTTTTTTTTTTTTTTT